TTCGGTGACCGCATACTGCGCAGCCAACCGTGAGAACTTGGCCATCGTCAGCACTTCTGTCATTTGTGCCGTGTTTCTGTGGATTTACTCGGTCCACGGTGTCGCGGACTGGCCACCAGGCTCACAATCATATCCTCTATAATTTTAACCTTCCATAAAGTGAGCTCTCTATTCGTCTTTTCTCAGGCCATAACTCATTTCAATTCCAGTCGCTTTCAATGGAGACGAATCAGCTCTTAAGATTAGTATCACTGAAGTCATCAGCGTGAGCAGGTGTGCGCACGTCAGTTCATGAGAGTCAAATCATGATCGGCATGTTCGAGTCAATTCAACCATCTAGAACATGATAACTACTAGCTAGTCATAAAGTCGAAGTGAGTTGGAACAACAATGTAGTGCTTTCTTTTCTTTCTTTCTGTCCCTCACCTGCTACCCCCGACGCTCTTTCGATTTCTTTTCCTTCCCTCCTTTTTCTTACTTCTCCGTATCCACAAGAGATCAAGCATTTCGATAAAGCTTGCCGATGAGCATTGTTGGCGTATCCTCATTCAGTTTAGATGGTGTTTTCGGGGGCTTGGAGATTACGCAAAATACATCGGCCATCTTGGTCGGATGCTTGACGGTTCAGGTTTACATTTATTATCGAGAGTGTGTTCATACTATCCTTTGCTTGAATATCTTCTAGTCTAAAGTGACATTGAACAGTTTTTTCAAGGATGCTAATATTTCAAAAATATTGGTACGTGCACTGACTTTCTGCAAGTCTACAAAACTAATACCGTTTTGTTGTCAATAGGTGGCCTTATTGTGGTGAGTTTCGTTTACTCGTGTAGTCTCTGAAGCAACTGAACGTAAACAGGATACTTGGAGTCACCAGCTACATCACCAACGCACGTACAATCTACAACATCACGGTGACAAACTGGGGAAATCCCGAAGCGCTTATAACGATTCTGAACGGATTATCCGTTACCTTGTATATCTGCACCGCGGGTCTAACAGTGGTCAAGGTGAGCCCCCGAGCGATCCGAGGTTGTCATTAACATAAATACGAGTTTCAAGGTCTTCTTCCTATTCCGCATTTACCAACTATCAGGAAGGCGATTGTGGGTCACTATATGCCTTGTCCTTTCCGGCGCTACCATTATCGCGGCATGGTATGGATGGATATTCCTGGGCGGAAAGAGCCGCAGCAACGTGTCGGATCTGTCGCGATATTTTTGGCTCTTCAAGCTTGAGTTGGCCTTGGAGATGGCGATGGAGATTTTGACCGCATCTGTAATGGCATTTTATTTAAGAAAAGGCTCGCTTGCAAAGGTGCAGGGGTGAGTGGAACTTTTGGAGAAATCGGAACACATGCTGATCACTTGAACACAGACCCTTGGAACTGACTGTGCGTGTTATCAGGTGGATTACGCGTAAGTTCATCAGTTTCGTCGTTGGTGGTGTATTGATATTAACACATAATTTGAAGATACTGGTGCCCTTGCCGTGTAAGCAGTCTAAGATCATATACATAAAACTGGTTTATGAGCTTGATTTCATTTTAAACAGAATCGTTTCGGTCGTAAATTTAGCTACAGTGAGCAGGGAATCTCAGCTTGAAGTTAATGCAAGGTCATTGATTCCAGTCTCTACAGTTCGTTTCAGACCCAAATCCAAGTGAGATACCATTCACTGCATAAACTCGGCAGAATAGCTGACAAAAGGTCGTGTAGTCCTTTGTATCGGACTTTTATCCGTCCTTTCTTTAGGCAAGCGATGGTATTCATTCATTTTTCAATCCATAAAACTAAACAGAGTTTACATATAGTGTATTCAAATTGTCTCCTTGCATCGTAAGGATTGAACCTTGAATTCGACACGATCTTCACTCACTGTATGTTTGCGACAGCATCAAAGGCAGAGAAAGTCTTCGGCAATTCTCCGAGATGCCCTCCGGCGATATTTCTACATCTCCATCTCATGGTGGTCGGAATATTGTTGACGCCTTCCGGAATTCCCTGGGAAACCTCCTCGACTCCCTGGCAAAAACTGTGCGTGGCAGCGACGAAAGTCGAGAGTTGCAAGGAATACCTCTTCACAATCCAAACTTGCAGAGTGGTGAACATCAATACCAAAACCAAAACAGCCACATCACTCGTACGACCTCTCTTGCAACGACGATTCCAGGTGTACCGGTTTCCATTCAACGCCCTCCCCCTCCCCCTCCCCCTCCCCCTCTTCCACAGCCAAGCTCCCCGACGAACTCTATGTCTGAACTATCGGCAACCCCACCTGCAGATACCCCTTTGATGCCGAATCGTCGTTATGAGCTTCATGATCCTTCTACCTCTCTTACAAGACAAGACACCATCAATAGCAACTACACTGCAGCAGATTCCTTGCCCAGTTACCGTTCTCGGCCTTTCGCTTCTCATCGTGAAGTGGCATCGATTTCACAGGTGATTGAAGAATCGAGGAGGACGTCGACTCCCTCGATCATGGAGGTCCCCAGAGAAGAGTATCTTCCAGGACCCTCCCAGGTAGGTCAAAGACAGTCGCTCGGTAGATGGCCAACAAACTCTAGTATGAGAACGTACACTACATTGCCTGGTTACAAGTCACCAGCAGCGGGATCAGAAATCGGTTAATGGAGTTACTTTGACATATGTATTATGTACTATGTAATTACAACTTGCGCTCTGACTAGCGATGTAGTGCTCATCAAACTTGTGCAAAAGACTCTGACAGAGTTCAACGCTGTAATCTAAATTATTTTTAGCATATACCAGATGGTATTTTTGTATATCTTGACTTTAAACAAGTTTTCCCTCATCAGAGACGTTCGAACAGTGACGCTGTGTTGAAAATCGTGGATGTCCTTCGTGATCATTTGGCTATGCCATGACACCGATATGATTCGTTTGGACATTCCCGAGAGACATGCTGATTCGTCAATTTGGCTAGGACAGACACTAAATTCCATTACAGATTACGGTCTATTTACTACGAGAGTTTATAAAATTATTTACAATCTGTCTCCGTTCAGTATCCCGTCTCATTTCCCCTCACAACATCGACAGAATATGCCGTAGCATACGGAACACCAGGCTGGAAGTCACCCTGTAAGTCGGGTAGAGGCGTCTGCATCCAGATATCCTGGATTCTCCTCGCAGATTCCAGGAACCTCTGCTCGATTTCGGTCCTATTTTGCTTCAAAACAAGCTGACGGTCCCGCTTCCTCCATTCCCCATCAACCAATACATGTTCCACATCCCCGACGTTCGAATGCAAAATCACCGCGGCCACCGGATCGGACCATCCCAACATATTCGGTGAGCTACCGTCAAAAACCACGATATCCGCTTTGGCACCAACTTCCAACACACCTATATCCGGACGACGCAGTGCAAGACCTCCCGATCTCGTCGCGAGTAAAAACGCTTGGTTGGCTGACATCGGGCTGTTTCGAGCGATTTCCCAGTTGTTCAGCGTCTGTTGGTAGAATTTGAGTCGGATGCTCTGTAGCCAAAGACGCGCTTGGGTGATAATGTCGGTCGAGTAGGTGAAGTGCGTGTCGACGCCGAGAGCGGCTTGATCTTGGATGAATGCAGAGTGCTGATGGTCGTGCCCGTAATGTAATTCGGACTCGGGCGTCGTGGAGATGTATTGGTTCGTTTGGCGTAAGAGCATGGCGTCTTCAGCTGAGATGAAACTGGCGTGCGAAAGGACAATAGGGAAAGTGGTGTTCAAAAAATCCAGCGAGTTCAAAAGACTTGGGCTATTAGCGTAGAACCAAGGACCCCCCAAGAAATGGGAAGTAAAGGCCGAGATATTTGAGTTTCTATACAAATAGTAAGCAAAAAAGCTCATAAAACAAAGGTTGAGATACTCACTTGGCTAAGTTGATTACCGATTGGATTTCCTCGGACGATGCAGAACTGAAACCGTCATAAGCAATCCCCATTTCTACCACACTCTGAAGCAGTCTGTCGTCCTGCAAAAGCTCCTGGAAGTTTGCTATCTGGTCTTGGACGGAGAATCCGTTCGTAAGGTCGTGAAATGCGTAGCACCACCACATTCGTATGCCACTGTCGAGCGAAGCATTCAGGGACGCAGAAGACGTCTCTGGAGACCATGTAGAATGGGCGTGATCGAGTATAGACGTGACGCCAGCATTCAAAGCCTCGTAAATCCCCGCAAGTTGTCCATAATAGACATCATCCGCAGTGAAAACGGTCCCAGCCTGAGAGAACTCGCCATACCGTACAAAATACTCGGCGAGAGTAGTGTTGGACCCCAGGGTCTTGTAGGCGGTTTGCCAACCATGTCTGTGAGTATCTACAAATCCCGGAGAAACGATTTTGCCCTGAACCGGTACTCTTTCAACATTTGAGGGGATAGTAACGGCTTCGTCTGCGCCAAATATGGCAGAGATTCTGTCATCAGTGACCAGGATAGAAGTATTTTGCAGTACTCGAGGCGTTTGCGTTGTATGATCAAAGGAAATCACTGTTCCACCTTCGAAAAGGATGGAGGAGGCGGAGGCGGCGGGGACGAGCAAGGCAAGCGATAGCAGTCTGCGGTATCGGAGATTCTTCATCTTGGGAGAAAAGGACGATTGCGGCTCGACACGAGTGTTGGGTACGCTCTTATACTGCCCATGGTGCCTCCGGATTATCGTTGAAACTACTACTAGTTACTGCCGGTGAGTAAGCCTGCAAAAATTTGTCAATGACATGACCAGCTCTTGACCATTTGAACGTTGCTGACAGATTTCAGCTGTTACATGTATAAGCTTCAGGATGACGGAAAATTTGCACTGGCCGGAGCTTCATCTAGTGGTTCTATTTAGACATCGTCCGGGCGCCTTGTTATAAAACAGGCACACTTTTCACCCGAGTTTAACGGGGCTGGTTGAACGTTGAACATTTTCTCGACCCCGAGCGGGGGCCGCCATTATGTGAAGCAAAAAGGTTCTGTAAACTCATTAAAAATGGTTCCCGAAATCCGGCTTATGGTAAGAGTGGGGATTGAACCCACGCGGTATTCACCAGTGGGAGTCTAAGCTGAGCTCTTAAATCGACCGCCTTAACCACTCGGCCATCTTACCATGTGCTCATAGCTTCACACCGATATATGACGAGGTCTAGAAAGCTGCGTCGGTGTAGCACTTGCTCTTGACTTGGGCTACTATCTACTTAGAGATGAAGGATGCAGTTGAGACTTGAAAACAATTTATCTATGCGACATTCTGAAATCTTCAAAGGTGATGTTTTGATAAGGAAATCCCGATTGAATGTATATCTATCAGTCCCCATACCCTTCTAATCGTCGAATAGTATCGCTGCATGAAAAGGACGCTCAAGCCATTAAGGGCTTGACTGTAGGTAAGTACTATGCCCCGGCGAATGTCGCCACGATCATTTGAATAGCTTCCTCAACTATGCCGCGGCCAACGTCGTTCGATTATATAGAGCCGTACTAAATGTGTTACTGAAGTGGGCTGCGGCCACACTTTGATGGTATAGCACAGTTGTCTTGAAACTCGGGTACTTGTACGTTTGCATACGGTCATCGTCTCTGATTTCGATCAACAGCAAAATCCTGTATTATTTCGACTGGCAATTCTCTACAATATTCTTTCAGAGATTCTCCAAGTCGATATTCTGCGAATCCCAAGGCAGGAAAAGGAACCACCCAATCCAACACACTCGCTTTATCGCAGATATGGTGAGAATCTGACACCCGAAACATGCCAATGTTCATTCATTCAATGCACTCTGATGTCCTGGCACATCCCGATGGCACACATAAAAGTATTCAGAAAAGATCGTGTGCCACCAAGTCCTCTGACAGTGTCAATTTAAGTTTTTGAGTTTTCTGGAGATTCGCTGATACTCTGTCAGATGTACTGGCAATACTGGCAATGAGAGACTAGGCAATGACACTCGAGTATGCATGTGAGTATCTTGTCTGTGAAATGTTCTGAACGATAAGCTCATAGTAGCTACGATGTAGAATATAAATAGATCTCAGTCTCGTCATACCGGCCAATATACAGTAGCGTGATGCTTTAAGTATGCTATCTCTTACCACCGGTTATGAAACCCTTACACAAAGATAGCAGGTTCGACTTAATTAGAAGATAAATACAACGTGGTACACGACAGTCCAGCAAGATATCACATTCCGTATTTCCTTTGCAGTGCCATCCATGCTGGCGCAATTACAGGTGCACGACTGACAAAGAAATTCATATCCTGCTCCGGTATTCGGTTGATATCCACTTTATTCCAATATTTTGTCATGGCATACGATATATCCTTCGCATCCCTTTCTGACCGACGACTACAGTTCACAGAATCAGAAAGAAGTGCTTCCGGTAGCAGGAATAGACCTACATCATCCACGTCTTGAGCTTCGCTCGAATAAACTCCGAAACGGTTAAAAATGGGACCCCTTGAATAGTAGTCACAGTACTCGAATCAAGACGTCGCGGACCGGTTTCGCCAGCTGGCAGTACCTCAATCTTCACGGAGTACGAATTTTGAATTTCGTTAAGAGAAGCAGTAAAGACTAAAGCTTGTACACTCACTTCAATAGCTGGAATTGGTCTGCGGTATGTAACGTGTAGACTGTAACACGTGCTATGAATAAGACCGAGATGTTTAAATATGCCATACCGGTTCGTCCAGGGAGAATGGGTGGTCGTAAACTCGTTTACCCCACCGAGAGCATTACGCACTCTGCGAAACGGATGGGTTTGACCTTGGCCTCCTTCCACAATGCAGAAGATCTCCTAGGACTGGTTCAAGTCATGGTAAGAAACAAGACATGGCGTGCTCACGTCGCTTTGAGATACATTCGAGATCACCGCAGTGAAGACGCTGCCATAGAAAGCGTGGGGGATATTACTGGCGTGTAACAGCCGCGAAAGTGCGCTGGCAGCGTCCAAAAGTCTCCTGGTTTCAGACATAGAAGCAGGGCAAGGAAATCAAATCTAGTGCATGTTACGGAAAGAAGTTAAAGGTGGGCGAAGAAGGAGCAGAATACTCGTCCCGGGTTCTTATATGGCCGTAAACAGGGCGCAGATTCGAGATTTTGGATAAGGATAGAATAAGATATGATCTCTTGTCGTGCCAGCTTTACCTTATGCGGGTTTGGCCGATCAGAAATGATTTGCACGTTGCAACCCACCGGTACTTTCCTAGCGGTGGAAAGAATTCGAAGCGAAAGATGGAGGTAAAGACGTCAAAAGATGTGAGAGTTTTCATGTAAGAGTGATGTATTTATTTTTATTTCGCAAAAGAATACTGGCAAGTATTCATCATGGGAACAACATCGGATGATCATATGAGGTGTTATTGGCGGCGGGTTCCAGTGTTCAAGTAGGAACGACATTACTGTCACAGACTATGCCGCTGCCTCGACAACTACTATCCCCGGACGCCATCATTTCCCCGCAGTTTTCGTAAATGAAATTGGAAATATAGAACACTCCCAGGCATAGGAAAGAGATGCCGGCAGAGTTTTCACATATCCAGCTTTTTGAGGCCTTGAGATGGTGTACTCATGACATAGAGCTTTACATTCCAACGGTGGTTACATTTTGCCCTCACTCAAGTCATGCCTTGGTCCTCCTGAAGTGTAGTTGGATTTTGCTGAAATAAAGTTTGAAAGTTTTAGGAGTGTTACTAGCCGTTTTAATGGATTCCGACGCCCACCGTATGTGCGTTCGTTTCTCCGCTTGAAGAGCCCAAGATCCGACATAAAACGATAGACTTATATGGAAATCGGTTTTGCCGGAGTCTTCGAAGGAATTCGCGTCTCGACGCCATTCAGTTGTTTCTACCACACAACTGGATACTGTCTCGCAGAAGAGTTAGGCTATGCGTATATGAACTTCGCGTCTTAAAACTCGGGCCCAACAGTAACCTGAGCTAGCAATTCTTGGCTTTGAGCAACCACGAACCAAGTTTTCCACCCGGCCGTGGCCCCCGACTTGTTTGGGTGCTATAGCTGCCCACGACTCGTATAGCTTGTGCGGGAAGGAGGGGAGCCCGTGTGAGCTGGCGGCAGCAAATGACATTGTCCAGGTGTCCTCTTGTGTTCTAGATTTGGCCGTGTTAAAAAGCTAAGTCATCGAACGTGAAAATCGCTTTTTACGTATGTGGTCAAGCTCCATGTGCAAAGAATTAAATGTTCGCGTGTCTGTCACCAGGTACTTGACGGATGGGAGAGCTGACGTATTTTGGAATCGACCAAAGCTAAACCATCAAGGAAATGAAGACAGCAGAGCGTAATGAGCACAGTTCTACAAAGGCGGCCTTAGTATTACCTTCTAAACGGCAGAGACGTTACTACGTCGAAACTGACGATCATACCAGTATCACGATGATATCCGCTCGCTGGCGAGTATGATTGTGGCAAACCTCTTCTCAAATATTAAACCTTGTGGTTCCCATCGTTGTAATTGCCTGCCGATAATGAGCGAGGCCTTAGCATGCCCAGAGAGATCCGGAGAGTGAGGACGAGTGTAGGAATACGGGAACACTGCAGAATGGTCGGTAGACGTCACATGCAGGCGGCAGAACACAGTTCAAATGGGTACACGCATGTGCGACACCAATTGAGAGCCAATAGTCCTACCCATTAAATTTCTTGACCAAGGTTAGCCCTGACGGACTGAATAAGAGAAATCAACGATATTCGATTTTCCACACAGGAATAGAACATTGACGCTGATATTCTACGCACGTTGGCTTTAAGGATGCTGTCTGACAAAGTACTTGGACAGAGTGACGTCGAAGAAGAATAAGGACTTGTCAATTACACGATATCGGTCTAGAGCGCGTTTGTGAAATCTGATCCGAGAGACCACCTCAACGTCCCTTGTACAGAATGGCGCAACATGGAACTGGTATCAAAAGTCCAGTTTCGAAAGGCGTACGACCTTATTCTATGCATAAACTTGGATGTTATGTTAAGATTAGAATGCCTGTAACCGGACGGTAGGTTCAGGATAACCTAGAAAGCATAAGCATAAACTTGAGATGGAGTAGCAAGGACCAGCAACGTGACGTCCGTATGTGGTTGGTCAGTTTCTGCAAGGAGGCTAGTCAAGCTAAGTACTGGTGCCTTTCAAACGACGGCCGAGAGAAGCGAAGGATCTGAAACGTGGAAAAAATTGTACACTTCGCAGCCGTGACACAGGAGAAACTGGAATGGTCTCGCGGCCTTCATTGTTCAGGTATGTAATGTCCCTGGAACCAAAGCCTACTTATTCTCTTCAGGTTTAGACGGCATAGCAGGCATTTGCCGAAGAACTATACAGTTTTGAGTTCTGCCGCGATGCCGTTCCTTATTGATCCAACTACCTTAACCGACACACATTCCCGTTCTACTTAATTAATACCAAACAAGTTGCTACTCCGTCAGCGGGATCAATGCATCGGCCCTGTGGGACCGTCACTTTAGCAAAGGGGTCAAAGAATCAGAAAATTTAAGACACACAACACCGGATTCACTATCAACATTTTCACAATTTGCCCTAGGGATACAAAAGTTTCCTGCCGACTTTTTGTACGATGAGTTAAATTTAAGACATTGAAAACGCTAGTTTGAGTATCAGAAACTACTTACTGGAGTTCGGCAACAAGTCTGGAAATTTCGAGAGGATAAGTGATATGAAGACCAGCACTTGAAAGATTCAACTCACCGGTGTTCCTTCCAAACCCGAACCAATACAGTCAAGAGGGCCGCGATCACAAGGAATGCTCGGCGGTTCCGAGCCTGGCGGGCCATAAGCGCTAGCCATGACCAGACCTTGAACTTGGAAGGCAACAAGAAGGAAGGCGAATTTGAGCTGCATGTTCTCTTTGTTATGATCAAGTTCTCAGCTGAGGTTTTATACTTGTAGTTTCATTCTATACAGGGTAAAGCTAAGTCTAGAATGCAGCACTTTTCAATTAAGGCGGCAAGACCCTATACTTACCATGGCTGTCCTTGTATCGGGAATGACCTGGACTTTAGCTGATTTTGGCCAGACAGACAATTAAAAGTGATTAAGGGGCGGGTAGTTTTATGTAACGAAAAGGGCGGCGTAAGGCA